GGGAGGGGCTCTGTGGGGAGCCCCCGCCCTGCTCTGTGCACGGGCGCCTGGAAGTGACGCTCCAGAGATGGGTTTGGCCCTACCCAAAGTCTGCCCTCCCCCACGTGGGCAGCTGGAATAGCCCAGGGTCCCACCCCACTGGCCCCTGGAACTCCTAGGTGCTGGAGGGGAATCCAGCAACCCCCAGAGATGGGGCAGGCGGCGAGGGCCATGCAGCCAGCCAGGCGACCTCACAAGGCTCCCCGGGGCGCAGTGGGGCCTGCTGAGCAGCCTCTTGTCTCCCCGGGAGCTCAGCTGCTGCCAGGGAGCAAGGCCGGGAGTGGCCAGGGAACAGGTGAGGAGAGAACAGCCCCCTCTCCCCACCCAGCCTCCCTAGCTCCGAGCCAGCCCCTCCCCGAGCCTCCAGGGGCCACAGCACCCCAACAGATCCCAGCACCTTCTTTTGAGCTCCCCCCACCCACCCCAGCATCCCTCAGCTGTCTTCCTGGCACTGCTCCTAGCCTCCCCAGTGCAGCCCAGCTGCCACGGACCCCCCTATGGCCTCCAACTGCCTCCAGTCCTCCGAACTTCTAAGCCCCTCCCCCAGCCCAGCCCAACATGCGCCACTGTTACCCACCACTGCCCAGTTCCCTGGGCCCCACCTTCAGGTCTCCCAAAACCCCAGTGCCCAGGGGTTGCTGGGGCTCACTTTGGGCAGGCCCTGGGCGAGGAAAGGGGGGGTGGCGGCCCAGGCGTTGAGAGTGCGAGAGAACTGAGGACAGTACAACAGGGAAAGGGAAGGAAGCCACGGATTTCTCCCCGGGGTCTCCAGAGCCGGGTCTCCGAACAAACCCGCTCCTGGCCCCTGTCCTCAGCAAACCGGCTTTCTCCGACCCCAGGGCAGGATGGCTGTTGAGGCTGAGGGAGCCATGTGTCCAGGGCCAGGCCGTAGGGGGGAAACCGCCAGGCCGAGCCGCAGCAGAACCTCCCCTGGCCACACCCACAAGAACGGCTCGCCTGTATCCCTCCTGTTCTGTCACTTGCCTATTCTGGTTTTGGGCGGCCATTTCCGCGAAGGCCGGGCCATGCCAGCGAGCACAAGGCATTGCTGCCCGAAGGCCTGTGTTGGGGCTACCCAGGCAGTGACACCAGGACTTGGAGCTTGCAGGAAGGTTGCAGCGTAAGCCCTGGTTGCGAGGAATGGATGACACACAACACAGCGGAGCGGCCATGCAGGTAAACGTCTCCGCTCCTGCTGCGTCGCTCCCTAGCTCGCTCTGTACGGTAGAAATAAATAAATAATGTTATTTTTCTAAGAGTGATCTGCCTCCTCTCATGCATGCAGCAAGGAACTTGGAGTTCGTGAGAGCTAAGCACTGACCCGCCTCTCCTCACCCGTCTGTGTTAGAGGGGTCAGGTGTGAGTGCTTTCAAATTCCAGGGTGTTCCTAACTGGATATTTCTATGGGCTACGATAAAGATTGGAGTCTGGATCTGGGTGCGAATTCTGACCCCTCCTCTAACCTCCCACCGTGCTGTGCCAGTGTGCTCTGACGCGGGGCGGACGCATGGGTCAGGTGTGAACTTTGGCACATGAGCCCGTGTCTGAGTTCTGATTTCAGGACTTGCCTGTCTTTGCCAGGTGGTGGGTGCATGATTGTCATGGGGGAAGAAGCCATTTGGCATCAAGGTGTGAATCCTCAGCTACCAAGTGACTCCGTGGCAACCTCAGCGCAGCAGGCAGCCTACGGAGGATCATCTGGTGCATGCTTGAGCGAGGGAGGAGAGCGAGGAACAATACGGAAGGGCAGGACTCCAGCCACAGTCTCTGGCTCCCGGTCTGGTTTTTGAACCCCATGCCGTTTGGGAGGGGGGGGAGGCAGGGGGTGTAGTTGGTTAAGACTCTGGGGCGGGAAGCAGGTGGACCTCGTCCTAGCTCTGCCACCCCCAGCGGTGAAGACGAAGGTGGGAGGTGAAAGCCGGGAGGTGGTGCACCCAGGCTCGGCGACTGGAGGATCTGCCCTTGTGATCCTCTTCCGCGTTGGGCACGGAGCAGGCCCACGGTCGCCAACTGCCACGTCTCGGGGCCTCTCCTACGTCAACGTCTTAGACGGTGACTGCGTTCCAAGGGTCGGACTAAGCAGGCGCCATCCCGCCTTTCCCGGGCGAGCCGGCTTTGGGCCTCTCTTGCCCTCTCCCGTGGAGCCTGCGGTGTCGTGACAGGTGTCTGCTGACCCGTGGTGCCTCCGGGTTGAGTGCTGGGGTGTGGCGGTTCGTGGTGCTTTGTGGGGGGGACACACCCAGTGCAGACCAGGGTGGAAGACCGAGAGAGACCCCACAACAAATCTTGGGGGGCTGAAAAGGCAGGTGGGGGTCCAAGGACAGGCTAGGAGAGCAGAGAGCAGAAGCTGGGAGGGAGGGTTTCTCCTTGGCGCTGCTGATCCTGTAGAGAGGGCTGGAGGAAGCTTGGATCTGGCAAGGGTCAGTTTGTGGGGAGAGGCAGGACTCCCCGAGCGGCCCGTGTGCCCGGGGCTGGCTTGTCGCAGCCTCGCAGGCCCCGTGCATGCTGTCTGGGTGTGCAGTCGCCTCTGTGCCACGCGCATCACGCTCACCCTCCTCAGGTGACCACCGACTGTTCGGCCCCGGACTAAATGGACTTTCGGCCCCTGCAGGACACTGGCAGCAGTGCCTACCGCCACAGGCTGGTCTGAGCCGAGCAGCAGCCTGCCAGGGCGGGGCGAACCCTGACCCAGAAAGGGCGCCCAAGGAGAGGGCTGGAGTGAATCATGCCACCGAGGTTTGCTCCTGTTCGTGGTGGGGCGCAGGCTGGTTTCTTGGAACCCCTAGACACGTACGGCTGCAGCGGGCCAGGCTCCCGTCAGCGAGGAGGCCAGCTCTGTGTCAAACGGACAACGGCGAGGGGCTTTTCCATCGTGGCAGGAAACGTTTTGTGCATCGTGGGGTTTTGATGACGATGTTTCGGCTCTAAGAAGCTGAGGGGGGTGGGGGGGGGCGTGTTACACCAGGTGCTGGCTAAGGGGCAGTCGCAGAGGAAGGAGGTGCCTCAGTTTCCCTATCTGGAAAATGCCACCAACCCTTGCAAAGTGCTGAGGGCAGAGCTGGGTGTCTGCTTGAAGGTTGCTGCCAATGCTCTGCCCCAAAGCAGGGGCCCCTTTCAGACCCCAGGGAATGGCTGGAGCTGGTCCTCCGGCCTCCTTCCCGGCCCCTCTCCTGTGGTGTGGGCTGGTTGCGCTCCAAGCCCAGTGATTCCTGAGGTAAAGCGGAGGTGGAGGGGGAAGGCTCCAACATTCTCCATCCCAGAATGCCGTGCGGTGCCAGGTGGCCGGAGAGGTGAGCCACGTTTTGGGCGGCCATTTTGCAACCAGCACCCCTCCTCCTTCTCCCCCCTCCCATCCCTCCAGTCCCTTCAGCTTCTGGCTGCTCAGCTAGCCCTGTCAGCCCCCAGGGACCGGAGCTGAACTGTTGGGCCAGGGGCCGGTCTGCAGCCGGAGAGACCCAGGCTCTCTGCAGACCAAACAAACTTTTCACGGGTCCGCAGTGACACCCTGCCCCCCTCAGTGCCAGTGTGGTGCTGTGGAGGGGGCATGTAGCTGTGAGCCAGATGCTTCACTCCTGAACAGGAGTGTTGCCTAGTGGCTACAGCAGGGCACTCCTTATCAGTAATACTGTTGTTTTTGTCACACACAATTGTGTGTGCACGCACGCGGGGGCGGGGGGGCGGTGTTTTACAGCGTCGATGGGCCCTGCTGCAAAGAACTTAGGCCAAAGGCCTCGAAGGTAATTAGCCAGCTCATGTCCCTTGAGTCCAATGGGAGTTAGGCGCTGCCGTTTGAGGAGCCGGGATTTGGAATCTAAGTGTAGACGTGATTCAGTGAACGAGGTTAAGAAAGGGGGAGGGGTGAGGAAGGACTGTGGAGTTGGCGGCAAGATCTTGCAGATGCTCAGATATGTGAGTAACTTGATGATTCAGGTAACCTCTACCCCCACCCCCGCGAAGCCAGCAGCCTGTTGGTGGGTGATGACATGTAGGGGCCATAGAAGTAATGGAACAAGACCCAGGTTTCTATTCCTGGCCTTGCCACTGACTTGCCGCGTGACCTAGGGCCAATCACTTAACCTCTGTCCGCACCTTCCTTTTTCTGTCTGAAGTGGAGCTAATGATACTTTAATTTACTTTCCTTATACCCCCCCCCCCCCCCCCCTTGACAACACACCGGCAT